TGTAACATTGCTTTTAATACCATCCCTAATTGGAAGAACTTGTCAACTTTCCTTTTTTACCAATTCACATGTATGGTGTGCAATAAAAAGGAGATATTATGGGGCATAATTCCCATAAAATAAAAAGTAACATTATTGGCCTGAAGCTGTCACCTCAGATGTTTTGTCGTCATTCACATGTTCCTTGCATCAAGTTTCATTGTCAGAGGACCCACTATAAGCAAGTTATAGGCACTAACACCTTTTAAAAGGTTTTTTTCCTGAGGCTGTGTTGTTGTAATTTCTGTTTTTATCATGGTACATAAGTGTACTAAGTTTCATTGCTAGAGGACCAACCACAAGTAATTTATAGGCACAAACACATTTTACAAGTTTTGTTGATGTTTAGAAACTTGTAATTGGTTGCATGTGTACAAAGTTTTATCACTTTGGGTAAACTTTATTGGTGCTATTTGTTGTTTACATTTAAACAAAATTGTTCACAAAAAATGCTCTTGTATGACCAGTTTCATTTCTGTATCTTACCTGGTTTTTAGAAATGCTTGTCTCAACTGAACAGCAACAACAAGAATGATTTTGAAACTGACGTTCTTGAATAAATCAATTACCGATTATGTGACTTACGCGTGTACGTGCTTTTTTTGACGATATGGAACAGATTTATATGTTAGAAGTGGGATTACATTGAAACTGTAACTAAAACGTACAAATCTCATATGTATGGGTATAATGCAGAACAACCTGTGTCATCCCTATCACTAAGATCTGAAACTTGTGCAGCAGTACCATAAGTATCTATATATGTATGGTGCTACTAGGAATGCGCACGCACATATTTTGCCTCACGCCTGGCAGCCAATGCGTAAACAGTCCGATTGAGGCCGCTCGTGCGCGCGAAGCCAGACTTCCTACGAATCTGCGCACACGGCGAAAGCTAGACTTCCTACGAATGACGGATATTACACTTCCTTTTGGTGACTAATTGACATTCCTAAGCGTGACTAATTGACGACGTACGTACGTACGCATATCGCAAGAATACAACCCGGAGTAGTTGCCTCACGCTAATGCGCTCGGCAATGATAGGGAAAGTTTTTCATCTTCTTCTTCCATTCTTCTTCTCCTTCAGATTCAACACCCATTACTCAGAAACAAAACAACAGACAGTAATAAAATTTTGAAACAATGTAGATATATCACCCGAAGAGACTGGTCATAGTTTTTTTGCTTGTAAACAACATTGAAAACAACAAATATCCCCAGGAAATACATTACAATAGATTCACAAGTGAGTGCTCCAGGCTAACACAGTATAATATGTACTTTTTAGTCCAGGTCAAACATGTGACATACCAAAATGATCCCCAATCTTTGATGATTAATTTGATAACAGTGATAAGACATCACTGTCCTATCACTGTGATCAAATTAATCATCAAAGATTGGTGATCATTTTGATACGTCATATGTTTGACTGATGTTCAGCATGCCCCATAAAATTGACCCGGAGTGCACTTTCACTGTCTTAGCCTGGAGTATTATGTACGTAACTAGATGGCATCACGAACACAGAAGTTTGATTCACAACACTAGTTCTAAAAATGGTGATAAAGCTAAGCTCTAAGTATGTAGGATTCACTATCTGCATACCACATAGCAACACATACCTGTAAAAGCATTCATAAAAGTAGCCATGGAGCGGTTCATCATTTTAAAGAATGGATCTCTAACAGGGTACTTTCGTGAACCACAGAGAACTGTATGTTCCAGAATATGAGCTACACCACTGCTGTCTCTTGGTACTGTTCGAAAAGCAACACTGCAGAGATACATTGTAATAATATCATAGTTGTTGAGCGTGGGCGAGCTAACCTAGTCATTTGTTTTGTGTGCCCAAGCTTCCTATGTATTATAATTATTATATAAGCGACTCTGTCATATACCATAAGCGAAACAGAATTGAAAAAAATATTGTGCTGCTGACAGGCGCGCGTGTCCACTGCACACTGCGTCTGTTAAATCACTAGAGGAGGGTGTACAAGATCACATGAATAAACGTGAATCACCAGGAACTCTAATTAACATTCAGGTGTGCTGGCGTTAGATGTCATTCCAATGCCTAGTTTTGTAGCGCCAGAGGAGACAGATAACCTTGAAATCTTGCAGGGAGTTGCAGAAAGGATCTAAAAAGTACTGTATTATTAGCTGAGGCACGACACTTAGGCTGTGAATGCTGCAAGGCTTATAGTATTTTTCGCTGGGAGAATGGAGTGGGGGGTGGGATTCCACCTCATTTCTTCAGGAAATACTTCTGAAGCTACATTAATTCAGTACCTTTTTTCTGTCATACATTCTGTATGGAGAGAGAGATTGGTGGCTCAGCAAAAATTGCATCGCATTACGCAATCTACGACATGTGTACATCATAAACTGGGTTGGACTTTTTGCCAACGCCTTACGGAGGATAACAACTGGGAGAATATCTCTCTGGTTTCCATGCTCATTGTTTAGCATCAGAGAACCTCACACTAGCACATTCTTCTACATAACTCTGTCATGTGCAGATTTTCAAAACGACACAGAGTTTCTTGGCTGCTATCAAATAATTCACGACTAAGGCCATTTGTTTGTGTGCTGCCCAAAGCCTAAAGGCCTAAACAGACAGCCTGAATAATAGACTAGTACCCAAACAAAATACTATTACCCTGCCATGCATACATGCCAAAGGTTACTTTATGATTGAACATTTAGCTGCAACTTATAACCTAACAAGTGATTATATATAGGTTAGATGACAAGAAATGGTGTCAGGATTCGATATCTTCGGAGAGACTATCCGTGACTGGCTTTAAGAACCAGACAGCGATGAGGCTGAGCCTGAGTCTCTTCTCCTAGCAGCGAGCGACGACTACGAGTCCTCACACGACCCCGCCCAACAGCCAAGTTGCCAGCCACTCCCACTCCCACTTTGCTCCTACAAAGAGCGATGGCAACGCATGGTTAAATGCGAGTTGGAGAAGTGGCGATAGGCTTAGATATCTTCGGAGAGACGCGAGCTGCTCTTGCCACTTTCAACTTCAGCAAGTAGTAGCCAGGAGACAGAGTAGCTTAGTCTCAGCGGTGAAGCACATGTGTGCATGCGCGAGAATTAGAATCCGGCGGACTCTATTTCCGGACTCTACGCGAATTAGAGTCCGCTTACGAACCAATCAGATTGCGCGATTCAAATTACTTACGTAGCTCTGAACAATGCAAAGGTACAATACTTTACATACCCAAAAGAATTGTTATCATCATCTCTAGCAAGATGGAGGTGTTTAGCACCAGTTCTATTGTGGGTTAGCTGAACTGCAACAAGATCAAATTCTGGAACATCTGTTACACTGTTGATAGTATAGCCATGAAGTGTGTCTCCTTCTTGCATCTCCGCTAAAGAGAGATGACAGAGTAGATGGATACATACCCAGAGAAAGTTTAAAATGCGAACATTTCCATACACAAACTCAAAGTTATGCTGAAGTGCTCAACAGTAATTTTTAGGTGCCACTGAATCCATAATTTTAGTAGACTACAACAAGCACATTACAGTGCTCCATGTGAAGAGGCAGAAATTATCACTTTTTGATACTTGGGGGTGATCTCTCAGTCATGTGCACACACACAGCAATCACTATCATCCCCAATCGTTCCTTAAGATAACAGTTCAGCAATCTGCTGCAATAGTAACTTATAGCTTTGGACAACAGATTAGCACATCCTTTACAAAATACGGGGAGTTAGATCTGAAAATTGCAGGGTAGCACTTTCTGGTCCTGTAAAAATCCATCGCTCCCCAGGGGTTTCGGCAGAACAATGCAAAACGATGATTATCGATGTCCCCAGATCTTTAGCTGAGAGTTATGCTCCCACACTTTTTACTGCATGTCAATAGATAAACATTCAAGACATACCTCGAATAATGCACCAGGACAAAACACGCCCATCCTTACACGAGGCACGCAACCAAATCGGTGCTCCACATCATACATACATTTAGTGTGTTCCACATCATACAGTTAGTGTGAGTGCTTTGACATCTTTTTGAGCATGCACTTATACGCATTTAGAAGAAGGAGAAGAATGCCAACACCAGCCCACAATGAATATTTTCAATCTGAGGCAAGCTTCTGACTTCTACGTACTCGTGAGACAGGAAATTTACTTCACTTACGTTACGTGTCATTCTACTGAGTAACCAAAACACCATTATAGAGTCTAACGAGAGTTTAAGAGTGACAAGCAAGACAACACTATAGGGATTGTGTCCTGGGGTTGGGAGTGTCAGCATGTTTGTTAAACATGCATATACCCTATCTCTATCTTGTCTCTCCTTATTTTTTATTCCATCCCTGCATTCGAAATTTGCAGTAATTTTTAAATGATAGTCATCAGCTGAATGTCGACTCATGCAGGTCCACTTACAAATTAGCTCTCGTGCAAGTTGAAAGTCAAGATTTCGCTATTGCATGAATCCTTTATATTGTTCTGTAGTTCAGTGAACAAGCGGTGCGGTGGGCGTGAGTATCTTTAAGCCCTACTAACGCAGCAGCGGCTGCTCCACTACCGGCTAAGTTAGAGCTCGCACCTTACCGGTAACGCCACAAGACGCGGATAGTATAGCGTGATTTTTTCACTATCTGTATCTGCTGTGCGTGTGTGTGTTGCGCTGGAACGCCTCTGCCGTTGAGCTCTGCCCACAAGAGCCCAGCCCACTTGTCCATTATAGGTGAATTACTATTGGGAAAGTGTCGTATGGTGCACGAGGCTAGTCCGTTGTCCAGAATTCAGAGGTTGATTGCGTCATAGCGGTTGGTAAACCGACTAATAGCCTGAGGCTCTTTGCTGTTGTTGTTGTTTATGAACTTGTAATGTTTACATTTTGATACTAATGATTGGTTGCAAGTGTGTAAAAGTTTTTATCATTCTGGGTATTTGCTCTGCCAATTTAGCACACTTTATTTGTCTCTATCTTGCCTGGGGTTATTTTTGTTGTTTTTAAACACCATTGTTTACAAACAAATTGAAATGCTCTTGCACGATCTGTCATGGATTCCAATCTTTGTGCAAGTTTGATCTCCATATCTTACCTGGTTCATGAGATACGCTTGTTGAAACTGAACAAGAACGAAGAATTTAGAAAACTGGATACATGCTCTATGCGACAATACAGATCAGTCTGATGTGTCAAAAGTCGGATCTGATAGAAACTGAACGTGAAACAAGAAATCTCAAATGTATGGGCATGATGCAGGACAACCTGTGTAATCCCTATATACTTTACTAAGTACTACCGCACTTAGTGATACCCCTGCTGCAAATGCTGCATTGGGCTGACGTAGTGATGCTTTTGCAGCTGGAAGCACTAAAGTGCACGTCAGTAGTGCACTCATAATGAACATCGGTAGTGCACTCAAGTGCCTGTCGGCAAGATCCATTCGGAAGTGCACACAAGTGCCAATCGTGGTGGCATGGGATAGAATCACTTCCATGTCTTTGCTTCTGTGAACTGCGGATTAGCACTTGAGTGCACTGCAAACGTTGGGTTTCTCGAGCTTACAAGTAAATTAAAAACCCTGCGAATTTTAAAAAAGAGATGGTTTAAAAAGGAAGTAAGACAAGATAGGGATGGGATACATGAAGCATAGTTAATGAACAGATTTGAGTACGCTGACACTCACAACCCCATCACACAATCCCTATATTGTTGCCTGGTGTGCTACTATTAAAGGTTACTAAAAGCAAGAATTCTTTCACTGTGTCCCTGTTTTTTTAAAACTTTTTACATTTATACTGCCACATTCCCTTTAATTAAACTCCACTTGGACTCTATAAGGGTGTTGGTTACTCAGTAGTGTATTGTAAGTTCTGAGTATTGTAATGGTGATGTTTAATACTTCACCTAGGCAACAATATAGGGATTGTGTGATGGGTTGGGGGTGTCAGCGTACTCAAATCTGTTCATTAACCATGCTTCATGTATCACATCCCTATCTAGCTTCCCTTTCATTTTATACCATTCTTATATGCCTAATTCGCAGGATTTTTAATTTACTTGTCTCCACTCATTTTTATATAGTACTACGTAATATCTCTGTGGAACGGGGCAAGCATCTATACAAAATTTTAATAGACAAAAAATTGCTTGTTGTCGTCATGGAAATGATATGCATACCATGTCTCATCTCCATGTGTGCTGCCGTTACTAAGTTTGAGGAGTGAAAGAGGGCTCTTTATTGTTGTGGTCGTCATGGAAACGATGTTACACACATGTGTACCAAGTTTCATCTCCATGTGTGGTACTGATAGCGAGTTTGAGGAGTGAAGAAGTAATATTAAAGAAAAGTGCCTGAGGCTATTTGTTGTTGTAGTCGTCATGGAAACGATGTTACACACAATGCGTACCAGGTTTCATCTCCATGCGTGGTACCGTTAGCAAGTTTGAGGAGTGAAGAAGTGATTTAAAGAAAAGTGCCTGAGGCTATTTGTTGTTGTGATCGTCATGGAAACGATGTACTACACATGCGCACCAAGTTTAACCGCTACAATAGCAAGTTTGAGGAGTGAAGAAGTAATTGAAAGAAAATTGCCTTTTTGAACAATATGCGGTCGTCATGGAAACAGGTAATCAATCATGGAAATGATATATTTATTAGACCACTCATTAATAATTCATGATTTGATGTTATCAGCTACTATATATGAGTACTCAAAACAGCTAAGTAACCCAGACAGCTGTGGTTAGGTGTCTTAGTTGAGCTAAGACTGAGGTGTCTTAGTGGAGCTAAGACACTTGTAGTTCAGTGACATTTTACATATAATATGTACAAGTTCCTGGCCATTTCATGAAAGTGTGAAATGGAATGACATAAACTCATGAAAATTAAGTGTGATACTTGATGAACAACTGAAATAAAAGCAATGACCGGCCTTTGAAATGGCCTTAGAATCTACAATAGTCCCTGCCTCCTTATCTAGTTTAGCCTTTTTAGGCAATGACTCATCGGCATCAATATTGCTGACATTCACATTCGTACAGTCATTTAGAACACTGGATGTTTGCTTTTTAAGTGTGCTTGTCGTGCGCTTGTATGATCTCACGTCTGTTGCACTACGATGACCGGTCTGAAGCATAATAAACTGTTCGTCCATTCCAGCTGCAAATAAACGTGTTGCTGCAGTAGCCCGCAATGAATGGTCGATCAAGCACACAACGTCTGAGCAAATCCAGAGGTACAGACAGTTCCCCACGCTCTGTTGTAGCAGATCTCGACGCAACCTTCGAGCGTCACGGGCGCTCCAAACCTAGCAGAAGCGGAGGTTTCCGGTGACTCTACAGCATCTGGAATCATAGAACTAGCCTCATCTTCATACTGCTGTGATGCAAGTAGTAAGATACAATCTTCTCAGTTCAGAAGTGGCGGAATTGGTGCTGTCTTCAGTGGAAGTGCTGTCGGCTGGCACGACGACCTCGCGGCTCTCCAGATCGTCCTCGTCCCACCACCCGTCAGGAGCAACATCCATAGTGCACAATAGAAGACTAAGAGACTGCAGACTGACCGTCAGAAGTTGAACGAGCGTCGTTCAGCAGCTGCACAGGCTGGTGCATTGCACAAGTTGAGGCGCGGAAGGTTGCTATAGTAATTATCGTGGTCTAAAAGAGTTAGTCACCACAAGCGGTTTCTCAGTTTTGACAATCTCAGCAGGTTGGATAATCCCCTCGGCTGCGCCTCGGGTAAAAACCACCCATGCATCCTCAGAAGTGGTCGGTCGGCACTTAGATGTGTCGGTTGGAGCTTTGATGTTCCTTTCATCTACCCTTTCAGTACTTTTCTTTAAATTATCTTATTCACATCTCAAACTTTCCAATGGTAGCACGCATAGAGATGAAACTTGGTACGTATGCCTATGTAAGGGTTAGTCACCTACAAGCGGTGTCTTCGAAGTTTTGACAACCGAAGCAGGTTTTGATAATACCCGAGGCGCAGCCATCTCTATGGGTGCAACCATTGGAAAGTTTGAGAAGTGAATCAGTTAATTTAAAGAAAAGTACAGAAAGGGTAGATGAAAGGAACATCAAAGCTCCAACCGACACATCTAAGTGCCGACCGACCACTTCTGAGGATGCATGGGTGGTTTTTATGAGATAATGCCGCCATACCGCCCGCTTACCGGGTCAGAATTCACAAATGTGCGAGTTTTCTTGACGTTTCTGGAAGTGTGTAAATTTACAACATTTTTGTGACCGAAAGGCGGGTTAACCTATGACAGTGGTGAACAAGTACATTAAAAATCCTGCGAATAAAAAAAAAGAGGCATATAGGGATGGTATAAAAAGAATGAGTTGAAGCGATAAGGAAACATACGAAATTGTAATCACTTCAGTCCATGTAACTGGTGAAACTGCAAAACAGGTGGTCTTGCACAGCCCCACTCTGCAGACACCACACCCACTGTCTCGGTGACTTGGTATTGATGGCACCTATCCCTCTTCATGTTTAGTAAAGCACTAAAGTGCAAACCCTCGGCGCTAAACGAGCGAGTTGTATGCTGGGCCATGCATCATCGACGGAGCCAGTAACACGAGTCTCGCTGTAACACAGGGTAGCGGTTAGAGCAATTGCTCGGGTGTTTCAGAGGCTCTCATAATTATTTGCTTATTCAATCTATTCGCTCTTCTGTGTTTCAATGCTCTCACCAGACGTTTTATAAATGGGAAGGCATGGCTGCATCCACAACTGCTCGCCACCTGAACTATTATGCTGCATTGCGGACATGCCTTGGCTCAGCATGTTTATCCATTCAGAACAGAGATCAAAACTGACGGAACAACCAACGTGCCGTAGCGCAAGTTCCAGCAAAAATTGACATGACGCGTGCG